GGGGGGGGAGGGGCTGGGGGTCGGGGTGGCTGAGCTGAATCAACTAATCAGTCAACTAATCGATAATGAGAATCGTTGGCAACTATTCTCATTATCGATTAGTTGTTGCAGCCCTACTTGATTCAAAACACACACAAAAATTCAAAATGACCCTATTTTTTTTAAAATGGTAATTTTCTCAGTTTAAACATTTTGATATGTATTCTATTGTGAATACATGGGTTTATGAGATTTGCAATTCATTGCATTCTGTTTTTATATAGATTTTACACAGCATCCCAACTTTTTTGGAATTGGGGTTGTGTATAATATCACTTTTTATGCATGATTATAAGACTTGTAAGGTTAATAAGTACAATGATGGCAATCCCTGCTCTTCCTCTTGTAACCAGATAATTAGTAGTAAAAATAGCATGAATTCCTTTGGGAGTAAAGGTTTCATTGCACAATAACATTTATACGCCAGTTACCATAGAAATATATGTCTTCAAGTTTCAATGTAGTAATGAGAAAGGATGGGAAGAATTATTAGGTTATGCTGTCCTGCCTTCAGGGAGAGCAGCTAAGGTTAATTGATAATATGCATTACGTGTGTTTGTACTCCCGTTGAACCTCTGTCTTACATACTGTGTGGTATTTGCTGTTCGGGTGTGTGCCTACATACACACTCTCCTTTAACTCTCCTTTTAGAGAACATCTTTACTAATGTATCTTAACTACTAATGGATACTAATGCATCTCAAAATGTCTCCTAGTACATCTTAGGCCTGCCTTCTCTATGGGAAGTTAAAGGGCAAGTGCAATTCTTTTAGGTCTCATTCACATAGTGTGTGCTAGTGTGCGTTGTGCATGTGCGCATCACAATGCTTGGGTCTTTTTTTCAGAGCTGACTTGCTCTTAGACCAAACCCAGGGGCCTCTCTCCCCCTCCGCTGCGTTGGTCTAAGGTCCCGAAAGTCATCACGTTTTATACACAATTTATAGGACGTGAGGACAGCAGAGGAAGAGACAGGCTGGAGGGAGCGCTGTCACAGTGCTGTCACAGCTGGATGTCTCCAGGATGAGGTGAGTATAGCTTTTGTTATTTTCCACGCTAGCCCAAAACAAGCAGTTAATAATTTATCCTGGAGTTCTGCTTTAACCACTTGACTTCCGCGGTGTTAAACCCCCTTCCCATCCAGGCCATTTTTCAGTATTCAGCGCTGCGATACTTTGACTGACAATTATTCAGCCATACAATGCTGTACCAAAATGAATTTTATATCCTTTTTTGGGGACAGATAGAGCTTTCTTTTGGTGGTATTTAATCACCACTGGGGTTTTTATTTTTTTACTATATTAAGGAAAAAGTACCACACTGATCCACCCTCTCCATCTATCCACCCCTTGTACTGATTTGCTCTTGCAAGGTTTGTTTAAAAAGAAGAACGACACTGTGTTCATAAAGAATCAGCAGAACAAAAGGAAATAGCAGAATCAATAAAAGTGGTACCCCTGCAAAAACCTTTTCTCTTTTTTTTTTTTTCCTGTTTTCAGTGGGGAAGGGTTTGAATCTTTTGAGGGGAAGTGTTTTGAATACCTTTTGTCTGTATCCTCTTCAGGCAGAGTTACCCTCACTTCCTGTCCCAGAGGCACAGCAGGAAGGGAGATTTGCCATTGGGAAATGTCTCTATAACTGTTATAGTGACGGTTCTAAGATTTTAGATTGTTTTTAAGATTTAAACTTTCCATCTGATACAAAGACAACAGTAGCACCATGACAGATCTTCCAACTGTTCCTCACTCAAGCAAACCTAATAACATTGTTTGCCTGAAGCTGCACTTCAAAGAGAGACACAGTTTTAGGCTTGCTTCACACTATGACATGACGATATAGAGCGTTAAGTCACACTAGTTTGTGTGGTCCCTTTCATTTAGTACAGTACAGAGCAACACACCCACACTGCAGCACGCCACAACACACATGCCATGTTTTGTGGCGCATTGTATTAAGTAAAAAGCTGCAAGTCCCTTTTTCCCTCTATTTACATGTGTTGGTAGTCCATTCTAAATGGGTTGCCCTAATGCAAAGCATATCCATGCAAAAAGAATGGACTGAAAAGGTCTAAAGGGGACCCTCCATGTAAAACAAAAAGAGAGAAAAGACAAAAAGTACATAGTTTGTACATAAGGCATTGCTTTGTGCACATTAGATATGTAGTGCCACTAATGCCTTAAGATGCCTGTAGACATAAAATTATCCTGGTGATTATCTAATCTCCACAGTAGTCCGATAAATTTCTAGGGCAGTAAAAACTATATCTCCTCTCTTTACAGTGCAGAGGGACCTGAGTGTTTGGAATCATGCCTGCACATCCCACCAGAATTGCAATGTCTATAGCTGGCTTAGCTTTACCCCACTGTTAAAAGTCAGCCATCAGGACCTGCCTCCGCCATTTAAAACACTGGGACAACTGACTGGTAAACCAACTGCTTTAAAATGGCACCTGGGTTTAAAGTAGTTAAGACCCAAAACCAGAATGAGGATAGATGTGAATTTGTTTGAGGATTTATACTTCTATCAGTCAGTGCTGTAAAACACCTCCAGTCATTGTTTTTTTTCTTTCCACAGATGTCATGGCAGCCTCAGTATCGAAGCTCAAAGTATCGTCATGTTTTTGGAAAGCCTGCAAACAAAGAGAACTGTTATGACAATGTGCCTATCACAAGAAGTGTACATGACAACCATTTTTGTGCCGTTAACCCAGTTTTCATTGCTGTAGTGACGGAATGTGCGGGTGGAGGAGCCTTTATTGTAATTCCTATACACCAGGTAAGTCCTTTATAAGAAATGGGGCTACTGGTACTGCCTCTACTCTGGGGTCTGGTGAGTAAAAGGGGCCCCTTCACAAGATTCTTAAAAAGGGGACCATTTGCAATCTCTGCAGCTCCTCTGGTGTTTTTTCTGCCCCTAGTGTAGCCAACAGCATCCTTTTTTTAATAAGAAATGTTCTTGCACATGAAATTTATCTTTTAATGCACTTATAATTGAATACAATCTCCCTGATGTATACTCATTGCTAAAATGAAGTGTTAATCAATCCTTGAATTTAGTAACTGGATACACAGTTGATATTGTTTTTGGAGTTATAACGTACATAAATATTAGAATTTGTATAGTAAAACGAAAGGCAACATTTTTTTTGTTATATTTGGTGGCGAGGGGTTAGAACCACGGTCAGGTTTTTTTTGCTGTCTGTGTGCCCTCTCTAAATGTCCGGATCACTAGTGTCACAGAGAAAAAAAGTGAGGGTAAATCCAAAATTTTGAGTTGCCATCAGAGCAGAAAAAAAGGGGAAATCTTCCAATGGAAGCACTTGTTCCTGTAACAACAAAGGGGATTGCTATCTCTTCCTGTTGATTCTACAGTATAGGAAGTGAAGGAAATTCTCCATAACGAGACACAAATAGCAGTAACAAAAAATGGACCATGGGTTAACCACTCCCTTCTCTAATGGAGAAAAAAAAAAGTTTTGGCTTTAGATATGTTTTAAGCGCTCGTATTCTTGAGATGCTCTTAGGCACATACACTGTGTATTTCAAATTCAGATGTCTTAACTTAAAGGTAATAGAATAGAGTCATCCCTTTTGCCCCAATGGCCAAACAACCAGGGGGGGGACGCCGGTACGTCTCCCCCGGGCGCAGGGCTGGGGGGAGGGGAGGCAGCCACCGGGCAGTGACAAGCGTGCAGTGACAAGCTGGGCTTGGGAAGGGGGTTATATTAGGAGGGCAAAATGATAACTGTACTTACTATGAGCGTACAGTCCTTTATGCAGTCACAAGTAAATGTACAGTGGTTAGTTAAAATTGCGGAAACGCCTAACACTATATTAAAAGGTGTCTTTATCTTTGAATAAGTTAATCCAGCCTTCAATCAGTGGAAGAGCTGATACACGAGCAGCAGCCTATAGTAGTTGACATATTTGGTTTAGACGGAGGGAGATAAAACAAAACCATTTATATACAGCACTGTAATTATATCACTTTCATTTGAAAGGTGTCCACCATTCTGTGAAATTTATTGTACAGCTTCGTGTTTTTAGAATTTTTTTTTATGACTGATGCTTTTTGTTTGCATATTGTAAAACCCATGTTATAAATGTTAACTGTTCCCACTGTGATTATGAAGGACATATAATGTTCAATGAAATGTTTGTGTCTCGATGGCAGAATAAATCAAGAGAATAAGGAACTGAATTTTTTATTGACTACTGTGGGTTTTTTAGTCATCTTCATTCCTCTTTGTAATGTGCTACTTAATAAGCCGCATAATGTTACACTGTCAAATGTTTAACCTTTTTTGGCTTTTATTAAAAAATGTATCTCTGTGAAAAGCCATGGTACTGGAAATCTAGGTCTCTGATTTAGACCATATAGCCCTGGGCATCGCATTTGTAACCTATTATGTTATCTAGAATAAACTGTGAGCGTCTTAGGGTCAGCTCTCAAAAGTGGGGTATACATGTTAGCATTTCGAATGAATGAAATCGATTTCAGAGCGTTCATCGATTTCACCGCATCAATGATTAGAAAATCGAACGATCAATGTCGACCGCAATGATGAAAGAATTCAAAGGAGCATGCTGGAAAATGTTCTCAATCAAATTCTAACAGTGGATGTGGTTTTCATTTGGCACACTCCATTAATTCAAAAACCAAATGTTAAATGAAAACAAAAGTCAAATGAAATTCCAAACGCCTTTAATGGCATTATTGAACGCTCAAACAGTAGTATTCGTACGAACGTTTGTTAGAAAATCTACCCCGTGTGTACCCTACTTTAGCCAGGAGATATTTTATGTTCATTATTTTATCACATGATAATTAGCAAGTAAAATGTTCAGTATCCATACATAAATGTTAGTTAGAATGGCTACAAGTTCAGATATAATAACTGTTTAACCACTGTAGGCCTATATTACTTATGCAGCATTATTTTATTTGCAACAATTGTCTCTATTTTCTGCTCCGCACAATAGACCCCTCAAAAGCTCGCCATTAAAATAGGCTTTATGGGCTAAATACATCTAATTCGTATGATAAATCCTGTTATGAAATGAAAAAAATATTTTTTGATCGTAAAGACTAGTACCGTATATACTCGAGTATAAGCCGTCCCGAATATAAGCCGAGGGGGGGAAATGAGGCAGCTACTGGTAGATAGATACCAATAAAATTACATGAATATTTATTTAAAAGAAAAATAACCTAGCTCTGTAAGTGGAAAAGGGGGTACAGGGCTACATATCATGTACTACGGATCATTTAACCCATTCATATTAGCAGAGGATAATTGTAAATCTATTGTTCAGTGCACTCTATATGTAGTATATAGTACATGTACATATAGAGTGCCTGCAACAATACATTTACAATGATCCTCTGCTAACATGAATGGGTTAAATGATCCGTAGTACATGATATGTAGCCCTGTACCCCCTTTTCCACTTACAGAGCTAGGTTATTTTTCTTTTAAATAAATATTCATGTAATTTTATTGGTATCTATCTACCAGTAGCTGCCTCATTTCCCCCCCTCGGCTTATATTCGGGTCAATACTTTTTCCCAGTTTTTTTTGCTAAAATTAGGTACCTCGGCTTATATTCGGGTCAATACTTTTTCCCAGTTTTTTTTGCTAAAATTAGGTACCTCGGCTTATATTCGGGTCAATACTTTTTCCCAGTTTTTTTTGCTAAAATTAGGTACCTCGGCTTATATTCGGGTCAATACTTTTTCCCAGTTTTTTTTGCTAAAATTAGGTACCTCGGCTTATATTCGGGTCAATACTTTTTCCCAGTTTTTTTTGCTAAAATTAGGTACCTCGGCTTATATTCGGGTCAATACTTTTTCCCAGTTTTTTTTGCTAAAATTAGGTACCTCGGCTTATATTCGGGTCAATACTTTTTCCCAGTTTTTTTTGCTAAAATTAGGTACCTCGGCTTATATTCGGGTCAATACTTTTTCCCAGTTTTTTTTGCTAAAATTAGGTACCTCGGCTTATATTCGGGTCAATACTTTTTCCCAGTTTTTTTTGCTAAAATTAGGTACCTCGGCTTATATTCGGGACGGCTTATACTCGAGTATATACGGTAGTTAAAAAAATAAAAATACTGCTTTCATTATGCTTTTGTAACATGATCCCTTGAGTATGTGAAGGGTTTGGTGTTGATATATGTAACTGTTAAAACAAAAGACATAAAAAGCTAAGAAATCCTTTTCATCCCTAAACCGAGAAAATTCTTCTTTTCCTGGTGGCGCTTGATTTCAATTTGCCATAATTTGTTTCACTTACAGTGATTTACTCCTTTTTATGTTAGACATGAAACTGCATTGCAATAAAGCCCAGCTGGCTCCCAGTCTTGTCCCTCCCTTTCCCAGCCTGAGATCTGGATTACTGAAGACTGATATTAAGATCGATTTCAGTTTTGGGTTTTAAGGATTTATTTTTATTAATCTATAGCTGGCTTTTATATCTGCATTGAGTTAAACTTTAAACAAAATGTATAACGTTTCCAGGTAAATATTAGGGCTGTGGAAATTAAACATTATTTCTCGATTAAGCGTTAAACTTTTTGATCAATTAAAATAATTTTGATCGCTAATGAAAACACTCACCTCTCCGCCGCCTTCCGGGAGTCCCGTCGGCGATCCGGTGACGTCACCGACATCGACGTCACCGGACTTCTTCCAAGTGGCTCCGTCGACTAACGAAGGGAAGGGGGAGGAGTCCGGTGACGTCGATGTCCGTGACGGCTAACAAATGGAAGGGGGAGGAGTCCGGTGACGGTGATGTCACCGGACTCCTCCCCCCTTCGTTAGCCGACGGAGCCACTTGGGCCGGTGAGTTTGCCCAAGAAACTTTCTGCACGAGCACCAGCCAAGGCATTGGCCTATACACATACAGCACAGCAATGAAGTAATAAAATGAACTAGGATCACACTAATCCAGCATGTTATTATTCAGAGTTGCCCCACTCAAGCGGCGGCCATATTGAGTGGGGCACGTGAGAATAATAACGTGCTGGATTAGTGTGATCCTAGTTCATTTTATTACTTCATTGCTGTGCTGTATGTGTATAGGCCAATGTAGTTGGATCTGTATGTGCGTTATAATTAATCGAAAATAATCGATTTTACATTTTTTTTTAGATATATCGAACACGAAAATGTTAATCATTACCAGCCCTACAAATATATATATGGTATGGAATATTGCTGTCACTGATTCCAGCCAGCAACTCTATGCTCTTTATCACATGCTTACCAGACTAACCTTAACTGTTTAGTTGAAGAAGCCTGTGCACAGTGCTGAATAGCTAAAGTTTATTTTGAACACACAGCTGAATGTGTCGGAGAAATGATCACAACCCCTTCCCTGTTATGTTTATGAAGGGGTAATATGGAGAATCAATAAAGGAAGATACATTGACAAAGAAAGCAACTGCTGCTGAGTTGCCTCTTTAGAAAAAACATAATGCTCTGCAAAAACGTTATAGGTGTTTCCTGTTTTTATTGTATATTTTATACTACTAAAAAAAAATATTTCTGGTATTAAAAAAGATTACACAGAAGTGTTATAGTTTTCCTTTTAATGATAAACTTGAAATTGGTAAAAAGGTTAATATTTATAGCAGGTGTTGATGCTTAAATAAAAAGCACAAGTACCCACAATTAAAAAAAACAAACATGCATTGAGTTAAAGTGGAACTTTAGGAAGAATTTATTGGGTTATAAGAATTTAACCCAAGAATTTGCTGGGTCTATCTTGGTTA